TTTAAGGTAATTGTGGTCTCATAATTTGAAACCCTGAAAATATAAGCTCAAGTCAGATTTCTTAAAAACCTCATTTGGTAGTTGCTGGAGAAAACAGGATCCATATGACATACTCCAAGTCGCCCTACACTAGAAAGTAAGCAAAATGCAAATGGCACTAGACTAGAAATGACAAAGCAGAATAGCAAGAAAATACAAATCAGAGTGCCAAAAATAACATAAAAAAATATACAGCACAAAATACGTCCGGCTTAATTTCAAAAGACAGACATTACACTCTTACACAACCTGAGTGTTGAACAAAAAAGAAAAACGATAAGAAAAATGAAATGAAACTAGCTGTGAGCCGAGTGGTGGCAGCAGAAGTGACAGAAGTGGCTTTCATGTGGACCCACTCCACGCTTCTCTAGGAAGGTCCTTCCTTACTTGTGTTCCCACACAACCTTCTGGTGAGACCCAACATTTTCTCACCTCTTACTCTCTTAACTTTTCCCAACATGGAGACCAGACCTAACAGGGTGGGATGCCATGGCCATGTCTCCACTCTTTTATATGGTGTCCTCGCTGTGCTTTGCATGTGAAATGACCCCAAGAGGCTCAGGTCTTCACCTCCTTCCCCGCAGAACTGTGAGCCCCAATACACACCCTTTCTCCCGCTAAGTTGCTTCTTGTCAGGCAACTGAGAAAGGGAATGAATAACCCAGGCCTCAGAGAGCAGAGATGTTCTTTCTCGTCACTTTGAACACTGTACTTCTCATTTGTTTATGGGAGGTCAGAGCCTGTTGCTGTTGTCCATGTCCATTGCCTTCTCTGACTATGGGCTGCTTTACAGAGTCACACAGTTGCATACTGGAGAATGCTTGCAGACTCTCTTCAAGTGCATCTTATCCTTGTTGATTTTAACCACTATGTTTCAGAATGGTCCTTTTGCTCCCTTCTCATTTCTTTCGAGGGTCTCTCCACAGAGGCTACTGGCTGCCTGTTGCACCCCTTTCTGATCATCTGTGGTTACTTATGTAGTTATGCCTGTTAAATTATATTAAAATTTGCTTTACCCAAAAAGGTGACCAGGTCCTGCATAAAGCCCCACTTCTGCATCTCTGGGATCAAAGGAATCTGAGCAGTAAGCTCTTCGCTGCAAACTTGGGCTTTTATTTTCTTCCCCATCTGTCTCTCTCATCATTGAAGTCGGGGTGGCACAACCGGTTTGGCTAGTATGCATTTGCATTTCCCAGCACAAGTTTAGTAGACTCAGTCTTTCCGATCTCAGGCTAATGGCCAATGCCGTATAGATGCCACACAAATCTCCAGTTTCCCCCAAGGCACTGTTTATTCTGTGTGTCTCTACCAGGCGGCAAGTGAATTAACGATCTCTTCCCACCGCTAGATGTTCTTAGTCTCGGCTATTTTATTTCTAAATAGTGCCCTGACCTGCTGCCACATCCCAGGGACTAACGTATTCCGTGGAGGGAGAGGACTGAGGGAGAGATGAAGCAGGCACATCCAGCTCCTGACCGGAAGGACTGGGTTGGCCACTGACACATTCTCTACTGCCTGCTTCCTACCCTGAATCAGCTGCTGATGCTGGGAACAAAGGAGTCTCGGATTGCTTCTCAGTCCGGCCCATTAACACCAGCATTAGGGACAATTTCTTTTAGCCACTTAGTTATTGTCATAACCCTTGCTTTTCACACCTGGGACTCTGTGCCTTTGCATCCTGGACCCACTGGCCAGTGGAAAGGTACTAGGCCCCCTGGTGCACCTCAGCTTCCCAGGATGAATCCCTGCTTTCCTAGGGGTGCTGTAAAGACATCAGAGTGGGAAAAGAGTGTAAAATTTGACGAAGCGTGAACTCTCAGGGATGTCTCTGGCTGAAGATAGCCTAAGTCTAGTTAGTACCTACTGCCCCATCTAGGGCTCCCCACTGACTCCTACACTGGTCCAGTCTCACTTAATTGTCCTGTAAGTTGTATCTACTCCTTGGTTTAACATCCTGTTCCTCTTCCTGCCCTGAGAGAGCACTCTAGGCCTTCCCTGGAGGTCCCCCATTATTTGTAACTATGTCACATGACTGTGAACTACCGTTTCCCATCTCTCCACTAGACTGCAGAGCCCAGTGGTCGTGGTACTGTGCCTGCAGCCTTCCTTGTGAATGGTTTGCCTGGTGAGTGAAGGAAAGGAGACCAACCTCAATCACAACTTCCCACATTTGAGATGGTCAAGGCTGCTTCTAGCTCTGAATAGAATAGCAAGCGTGTATGAATCCGGTTTACCTAAAGTATGAAACCCTTTGTCGTACATCAGACTTCAGATGGCTTTCCAAGCTCAGTCAAGGTGAATTCACAAGACCTGAGCCCCTGAACTTGCAGTTAACTCCCAGCCAACTTAAGTGAGGGAGATAGGACATTAATATAAGGCGCAGAGTTTCTCACCCAGCACCCCATCCATAGTGACCTCTACCAAGGCAGCCAATAGCACAGTAACTCAATCTGCTTGCTAGGCATGCATTGCTTGGGTTCATGGTGTATAACCTTCCACTGTCCCTCACATGTCAATGCATGACTGGACAGTATGTGGAGAAAAATCGTACATGAAAACCACTATCCAGCCAAGAAAGGGAAAGCCTTAGCTCACTGTTTAAAATGAGAGCTTAAGATTCACTTTTCCTGTTCTCTGGAAATTCTAATTATGTTTCTTTGATTAATTTTAAAAAAATCAATAAAATATATCTGATTCTAAGGTCACTGAATTCTGAACAGAGAAAATGTATAGCAAAGTTGATCAATATATGTCAATCATGTAGTATATTTATAAAGATATATTTTATATCATGTTCTTGTATAAAAGTGTCCATGGTCATAATTACAAATATTTGTATAATATAAATTATAATGAAAATTAAATATAACTTTCAAAATTATCCACCCATAAGACATAAAATATAATTGTTTTAATAGCAACATATCTGGCCATTTACAGATAAGTCTTTTAATAAATGCATAATTTCTAGCTTTTTACAGTAAAATTGAAGTGAAGAATTTTCAATTTTAACTGACTTGGGGGTTAATTCTACCTTTCACCTTTTCTGGCTCCCCTCCCAAGTGCTCTGTGATTCGATTAGTAACACAAACACATAACACATAAACAACCCGCTGCATGTATGTCCATCCGACATTCAATTCATTCTTTTCAAAGGTGAATGGTTTCTGAGAATTCTGAAACTCATCAAAAAGTCAAAGTTTAGGAATGCAGTTCAGGAACTCCCGTCTCAAGCAGATGTAGCTGTTTGTTAGTTACCTCGGGAGACAGGTCAACATTGCTTTCCAAGACAAACCACGCTTCAGGTGTTGTCTTCATTGGTGACACGCAAGGTCAAAAAGAAAGGAAGAAAAGAGAGAGAGAGAGAGAGAGAGAGGGAGGGAGGGAGGGAGGGAGGAAGGAAGGAAGGAAGGAAGGAAGGAAGGAAGGAAGGAAGGAAGG